ACGCCGCACGTTGACGCGGGAGATGAGCGGCGGGGGGGGGGGGGGGGGCGACGCGATAATCGGATGTCGCGAGATGCGGCGGCGCAAAGTCGCATCGTGCGAAACGATTTCACAGAGATGTGTGCGTCGCTTAATTTCATCGGTTTCGTCATTCAACGCAGAGTGCCATGTGCGTGTTGAAGCTGAGTTGCTGGCGTTTGTGCTCGGTGTTACAGCTGAGCTAATGGAAGGTGTCTTCAATACTACAAAAGAACAAGATATTACCAGAGTCTTAGCTAGTGAGGGAACAGAGGAGCGGGGGGGGGGGGACAACTGGGCGCACTGTCAGTTGCCCGGAATACTAATTGCATATGCATTTACCACCTTCCCCATTCAAAATGAGTTAGCTACGGCCCTGACACGGTTTATTTCTGTCACCAGTGTCTACATTTATTCGTTTCGCCTGTTAAGTGTACCAATGGTGTGTATTTGTAAATTTTGTGGTGATTAAGTATCATTGTCTGTTGGCCAACGTGGAATTGTCTGCCGACTGTCCGAGAGTGTAACACAGGAAAGCACTTTGTAAAGGTGAATGCATTATACACCCGTGGCGTCACAGGTGTACGCATGATAATTATGTGAGCATTATCATTTAACAGCAAATGGATCTAGGGTGCGTGACGATGTGTGCAAAGTGAATGCATTTATTGAACTTGTGTGTAAACAGGTGATCTAATAGACGTGCTGAGTGTAATGATGCTTGCCCGTAGGTGTTGCTATGGCAAACATTCCATTTTCCACTAATCGTCGAGTTTTTGCCGTGCTCAGTAATTCAGTTGTATATCCTCGACATGAATGCGAGACATGTAAATCTTTGTGTGTTCTCTATAATGAACGTTGTAGACATACGTTTCATTTTCATGTGCAGAGCTGACGCACTCTTATTTCCGTTCGTAGCTGTACTTGTTAGTAACACCATTGATATACGGTCCGAGTTGATGTGTTGAATTTAACTGTAATCAGATAAAAATGCAGACTATTTTACTTTACGATAATTACTTGTTTGTTTTTTTCGAATTTTGACATTTAAATGATAAAGTTGCGAATCACGTGTATGCTATCTCCGATATCTTCTTGTTAAATTACAATAACAATACAATTTGTAATTATAATCAACGCAAACGCGAAGAAATCGTGATTACATGCTTTACAACTTTGTAAAAGTAAAACTGGGAGATTACACCTCTGTTTTACAAGTTAATGTGGGATACTGTGTGTAATAGATTGTCTTTTGACTGGTAAGCAAGTGGCAAAGCACGGTGTTGCTGCTACCCTGGCATGCTAGCGTAAACCTTCTCTCGATATTGTGATTGATGCTACTCGAATAACACGGTCTGAAAGAAGATACCTTATGCTAACCGTAGAACCAGGGAGTCTATAATAGGCCTATTATAGACTCCCTGGTAAAACCTTGGAACCGGAAACCTTGGAACTAACGCTTATTCTACGCAATATTTTAGCATAGCATGCATTTTACCCTGGCATGCTAGCGTAAACCTTCGCTCGATATTCTGATTGATGCTACTCGAATAACACTGTCTGAAAGAAGAAACCGTAGAACCAGGGAGTCTGTAATAGGCCTAAAATTACTCCCTGTCAGAACCTTAGAACTAACGTTTATTCTACGCAATATTTTAGCATTTTGTCGTTCGTGTGATACCGCCAGTTGATTGCCCATATTATGGTTACACGGGTGCGTGCTAATCTGTATTTCTGATTTGTGCAGGGACATATCGGCTCGCTTATTTTTATGCAGTTAAATCCATGCGATACACATTCTTGTGGGCATGCGCAGTTTGTGAGTAAAGACACGCATAGATTTATATACATTATAGCAGGAGTAAGATAATATAGGACGTGTATTATCTTACTCCTGATTATAGATAGATATAAAATACATTGACACACGCACGCACGCCCGCACGCACGCACGCACGCACGCACGCACGTACACACATTCATGTCAAAACCTATAATTTGCGTAACAAGCTCCCTGGGAGCCTTAATCTCGGCACCGCGGCTTTATCCCGTGCTAGCATGCATGCCCACGCCGTATAAGTTGGTTTCGGATGTGCATTGACGTGGAATATACCACGAATTCTAATATAATCTTAAATATAATGTTTATAGCATTGTCTAGTATACATCGTAGTTATCATTAGTTATGATTTCTGTTGTGTATAACTAGCATCTGTGATTTATGGATATTTTCGGGATGCGGGAATCATCATTCTCTGAGGGTTACATAGATGAAGCGGTTTAGATGGACGCAGTCAATGAGAGAGGGGATGAGCAAAATAGAGAGAGAGAATGAGCAAGATAGAGAGAGAGAGAGGGAATGAGCCAGATAGAGAGAGAGGGAATAAGCAAGATAGAGAGAGAGGGAATGAGCAAGATAGAGAGAGAGAGGGAATGAGCAAGATAGAGAGAGAGGGAATGAGCAAGATAGAGAGAGAGGGAAAGAGAAAGATAGAGAGAGAGAGAGAGGGAATGAGCAAGATAGAGAGAGAGAGAATGAGCAAGATAGAGAGAGAGAGGAATGAGCAAGATAGAGAGAGAGAGGGAATGAGCAAGATA